AGGACGCATACAGCGCCTGCACGATCCTCCAGGAGCAGCTGGAGCATCGCACAGACACTATTACGCATGCGTGCGCTGCGCGTGTGCACGAGGACACCACCGGCCCCATTCCAACCGAACCGGTTGGAACGGGGCGAGAAACCCACCCCTGAGTTTAGGTGAAACCTGACTTAATAGGAGTAACTGTGAGAGGGATTTTTGAGTCCTAGTGGACAATCAGTTAAATATGAGCCAGCAGTGTGTTGCAGCTGCCAAAAAAGCCAACGTAGTCCTAGGTTGCATTAACAGAGGGACTGAATCAGGATCACAAGGTACAGTCCTAGTACTGCTCTATAAAGCTTTTGTAAGGCCACACCTAGAATATTGCATCCATTTTGGGTCACCACCACACTATAAAAAGATGTTGAGATTCTCGAAAGAGTACAAAGAAGAGCAACAAAGATGATTACAGGCGTGGAGGCTAAAACATATGAAGAACAATTGTAAGAACTAGGTATAGCTAGTCAAGTGAAGAAAAGGACCCAGGTGACATGATAATAGTGTTCCAATATTTGAGGGCAGGGGGACAATCTATTTTCCAAAGCACCTGAAGACCAGACAAGGAACAATGGTTGGAAATTGATCAAGGAGAGTTTCAACCTAGAAATTTTTTTGACAGTAAGAACAATCAACAATCAACTAGTGCAGTCATTGCACTGGAGGCTTTCAAGAAGAGCCTGGACAGTCACTTGTCAGAAATGGTATAGGGTCTCCTGCTTAAACAGGGGGTTGGACTAGATGACCTACAAGGTCCCTTCCAACTCATTCATTCATTCTCTCCTGTGCCTTTTGCATATTTTAATGATTATTTCTATTTTTATTAGTGATTGTTCTAGATGTTTATTGTTTGATTATAGGAATTATGTTTGGCTAGTGAAAAGAAGGACTAGGAGAGTCATGATAGCATGGTTCCAATATTTTGAGGGGCTCCCACAAAGACGGGGGGGTCGACCTATTTTCCAAAGCACCAGAATGCAAGACAAGAAGCCGTGGATGGAAACTAATCAAGAAGAGAAGCAACCTAGAACTAAAGAAAACAATCTTGACAATGAGAACAATCAACCAGTGAAACAGCTTGCCTTCAGAAGTTGTGAGCGCTCCATCACTGGAGCTTTTTAAGATGAGATTGGACTGCCATGTTGTCCAGAACTGTATAGGGCAGTGTTTCTCAACCTTGGCGACTTTAAGTCCTATGGACTTCAACTCTCAGAATCCCCCAGCCAGCACAGCTGGCTGGGGGATTCTGGGAGTTGAAGTCCACAGGTCTTAAAGTTGCCAAGGTTGAGAAACACTGGTATAGGGTATCCTGCTTAAGGAGGGAGTTGGACTAAAAGACCTCCAAGATCCCTTCCAACTCTGTTCTGTTCCATTCTGTTCTACAATGTTTCTTCTCCCACTGCAGCCCAGCCACACTCAGTCTTTATAAACAGTTTGCAAGAATCCTTACCCACTGGATATTTGCCATAAAGTTTGTTTGTTCTGATGAGACAAATGTTTGGAGGTTTCCACCATAAACATGCAAAAGGCTCCTACAACAGTTATTGGGAAGCTTTTCTTCAGTAAGCTCAAAGCCTTCTTTATTAGTTTTTTTGCAGAAGTAATTTGACCCATATTGTAAGAGACCTGTAGAAATGCAGATAGATAATAATAAAAGAAATTGATAATTTTTCATATCTTCTTTATGATGCCTAAAAATGTGTGAAGACCTCTCCTCATAAAATCATGATCTTGCAGCATGGGTAAATATACTTAAAACACAAGAATATATGAGCCGAGGTGGCGCGGTGGTTAAATGCAGCACTGCAGGCTACTTCAGCTGACTGCTAGATCAGCAGTTCAGCGGT